GCTGTCAAATCCTTTGTGTCAGTCACCACTTTTGGGCCAAACTAATTGCTCCTGAAATCTTCACAACTAGAACTTGTGGTAGTCTTGGGCTGCTGCTCAGAAGCCAACTGCCCGGTTTTGGAGTCACCCGGACTCTCACCTCGAGAGCTCACAAGCTGGTGTGTCACAGTAAGTCCTGACAGAAAGTTGTTCATTTATTTATTTTATGCTCTTTCTTTGTTTACCAAAACAGTCCTACTGCACAGAACCATCTGACAGATATCTGCACTTGCAACAGCACAAATCACGTTCTTCAGTTTTGCACTTTCTAAGCTATAAATGCTATTTTTGATTTCAAGAAATTAAGCTGTTCACCATTTCACATACCTCCTTTCTGTTTTAGAGGAAAACACAAGAAATCAGAAAGCTGTTCCACTGCTATGAGATCCATGGTCTACTTATGGCTGATGCAGAAAAAGCCAATACACACAAATAGATCTTTCAAGTTACAGTGACTGCCACACTGCCAGGCAAAGAACAGTTCTGCAGAAGAGCTGGGAAGGTCAGATGTTCTGTCATCATGAGCAGTCCTAGACTGAATCCAGGCAGAGAGACAGGAGGAGCACCAGGACATGTGCAGGAAAGCTAACAAGCAGAGGGCATAGATTGAATTCACTGTAGCACCAGTATGCATGTGGACTAGAGAGCTACAAAAGAGACAACAAAAGTTTATAAATTAAGGTGATCAAGGCCTCCACTGTGTTTACAAGCAGGTGGTCATCAGAGCTACATATGCATTGGCTTCTAAGCGTATACTAGGACACATAGAAAGACTGACTAGCAGGAAAAATGCATCTCTAGTTTTGTCTCAAGGGTTACAAGTCTCAGCAGGGTGCACAACTGCTTTCCACTACTTTGTAAAAGAATGTTAATCATTTGGAACCAGGTCACTCTGGACAATAACAGCTCATGACAAAGAGCAGACCTGAAATCAAGTGGTATGCACAAAATGGAGTGAAATAGTTTAAAAGTTACTAAAAAAAATCATGCAATCATTCATCATGAAACCATTGTGGTTTACCCAATGCATGTTTTCATTATACTTTTCATGTACATTATACCAAACTTGAATAATTTTGATTCAGGGAAAAACCTCATAAACTTCTACCCCTTCTCTCTGGATGCCTTTTATAATGACTATGAATACTGTTGGTCTACATAAGCTGTCATCATTAAATTAATTAAAAACTTTATAGAACTATACTCTCTAAACTAAAGAAGGATGATCTTTTTTTATTTTTCAGCATTTTGAAATACCAAATCCCTTTACATTAACTACTTTGTGATATCCAAAGCATACATATAATTCATTCCAACAGAGCAGTTAAAGAACAGGCTGTGTCAGCCTTTTAACATTTGGTACATGAGCATTACCTCATTCTAGTGTTTTTCTTCAATACTTTTTTGAGGGGAGGGGTTTTGTAACATATAAAACACTGGCTGTTCATGAAGAAAGTGGTCTGGATAAAAAAGTCAGTAGTTTGTGAAGGAAACCCCAAAAACATAGCCTAGTCTTTGAGTCTTTAACTTCCACATGGCGGTTGGGTTAATATCTCATCTTTTGTAGTTCTTTCCAATTTTGTATGTCTATGAAGGTTTCAAAAGTGGTTTTTCTACTTCATGCAGGAAAATAAAGATTATTCAATGGCACTCTCCCACTCCCAAGCAGGCCAATGCAGAGCTTGTACTAGTTCCAAGGTTAGGGTTTTCCAGTAAAAAATGTAGGAAGTGATTTATGTTGGCCATATAAACACATTATTTCCAATCTGAATACGAAATCTCTCCTGCCATCTAGTTGATCTAATCCAAGATGTTTAGGCAGAATCTCAGCACTGAAAACTGCTGCAACTCTGTGGAAACACTACCTCATTGCCACTGCTGCAGAATGAACATCCATCAATTTGGGAAGATTTAACTGTGAGGAAGAACATCTATTCTAGTGCCTCTAAGAACTTGTTTTCCCTACTTTTTTCTTCATATTATTTTCATGAAATAACAGTTTCTTTGGGGCTTTGCAAGTCATGCTTCGGTAAGCAGCAGAAGAATGCTCAAGAAAAGCTTCAAGAAAGTCACTGAAACTAGATTTTCTTAAGAGGTGGTAGACACACATGACAGGACATAGTATGCTTGGACAGGGTTTCAAAAATAAATTGGATACAAGGACAATTTATAGTTCTGTAACAACATGCATAAGTGAAATGTGTGCAGTTTAGAGACACCAATATTTGATTTGTGAACATTCTCAAGCCTTTACCTTCACAAAGAAATTCCCACCAGTTACAATGCCTGTAAGAGTTATTACATAAAAATAACCACACTGTACTGTGGAATTGTGCTTTCTACATGTACAAATAAGTTTTGCCTTTATATTCTGTGACTTTTTGGGGGCTGCTGAGGTGCAAATGTACATCTTTAAAATGGTAACTTTGTTTTGCACCAGCATGATGACAGACCTGTACTGATATTGCATGAGCATGGGCAGTCACCACTATTTGGCCTTTGAGACCCTCTTTTGCTCACCAGGACCGCCACTAAAAGCTTCCTCTTTTAGTCTCCATTGTCTCACAATTTGCAAGTAAGACAGAGTGAAGGCAGATCATTAATTAGGTGCCAAAATTAATTTTCTCACATGTTAAAAGGATAAAGTTGACTCTCCCTAGGGTAAAGAAAACAGAGAAAATGGTGACGCTTCCTCCCAACCTTTCACTCCATTTCCCTCTCAGCCTGTATCTCAGCTGTCTGTGCCATGACAACCCCAGACTGATAAAATAGGGTGATGGTGGGAAAATGACCCTTGGAGATGGAGCAGAGGTGGGGCTGGGCAGATAAAGGATGGGGGAGGCCGTTGCGGCCGTTGAGGAGCGGCAGTTGGGCAGCCACAGAGTGTCCCCAGGCGAGTGGTTTCGGAAGGATAGGTGCAAGTGGGCTGGGTGGGCCTGTGTGCTCCTGAGTGGACTCCCAGCTCAGGGCTGAGTGGTACCCAAGCCGCTGTGCTGTGGTGTGCTTACTGTGGAGGGTGTGTGTCAAACCACGCGAGTGTCTGGGAGCTCTTACTGGCTACGACATGTGGTGTAGAGCAGTGTCGGCCCTGAACTGGCCTGTGTGTGTGCATTTGTTCACTTACACGTTTGTGTGTGTGTATGGGCAGAGGATCCACCAGAGTGCCACCTAGGAACTCCCAAGATCCACTGTCACACACAAGAGCTTATGCTCAGGGTGTTATGTGTCTGTAAGCACATACACACAGCAGCATGTCAAAATCTCACAAGCTCTTGGGTATCTTCATGTGTATATGTGTGATGAGGGTTTGTGCTAAGATGTTGAATGGCTATGTGCAAAGGCTCTGCATATTTGAGTATCAGTTTGACAGTGTATCTGAGTGTGCACCCAGGTCTATTTTTATGTCTGACTAGCTCAAGGAGGCAGTTTTGGTTGTAAAGAGTGTAGTAAGAGATGCAGAGTTGGCACATCCATGATGAAGCGCGGATAGAAAAATGCCTTTTGTCAAGGTTAGAGAAGCATGTTGCCCGTATCATAGACAAAGGAGAAACTCTGCTTGTCTGTTCAGGTTTAATCAGTATAGTACTGACTGCATTACTGAGGGAATGTTATGTGAAAATTTTAATTAAAAGTATAGATGTCACATGTAGCCTTCCCATGTCTGTCACATACAGCTACTACACCAGACTAATGTGCACATTTGCATACTTTCATACAGCAGCACGTCTGTGCTGCAGTGCTTTGCTTTGCCATCTGAGTGTGTATGACTGCATATTTTTAGTTGGAGAGCATGTGTAGAATGATTGGGATGTATAGGCCATTTTCATGCACTGGTTTATGTTTTGCAGAACTGATCTTGCAAAGAGTTGATTGTCATTGCTCAGTAACAGAAGGTAACAATGAAAGATAGGTTATTTTGATGAAGATTTCCTACTAGTATGACATATTTCCATCTGCCAGTTCCCTCTAGTGTCAGTAGTGAGCATCATCTCCTTAGAGTCTTTAAAGGATATGAATTAATGCCATGCTTTCTACCATCACCTGGTCTAAAGGATTTGAAGAAATCCTGCATTTAAAATTTTAGTCCTTACCAACACTTTTACATTAAATGTGAAACAAGCACGAGATTAAGAGCTCTCATATTCTCTCCTATGCCTCAATCTGTGCTGTGAAGGGAACAGCTTTGGTGAGTGTATCAGGATGGTTTAAACCCTGGACATATTTGCTGGTTGACTTCTCAAATAACAACGCAAGAGAAGGTCACATTCATGGGGGCACTATGATTTTCCCTGAGGCAAAGACCACCATCTTAACCAAGAACTCTAGAAACTCAAGCTGCCCATGCTGAAGTCAAACTCCACCCACATATGTATCAGAGCTGTTTTTCTGTCCAGTTCACAGTTAACTGTCTATCATAAATATATGAAGGACATTATTTATTAATGACAGAATGATAAATGTATCAGGATTCGGTTTGGGAGTTTAGTTATGGGACACAAGTATGTCATTGCTTTTTATGTATCCCAGCAGACAGGAAGACTGATTTGATGTTATTGGAGTTGAAGCTCTTTAATCAATATTTTTCTGAAATGGCTCAGTGTTACAGCAGCTGTCATCCTCCCATCAAAATGCCTGTGGCTATTCTGAGTACAGTGATTATAAGCTTGAAAGATTGTTGAGGTCAAAAGTTCTGCCCACCCTAACAGATTAAGATACTAAATTTTCTTCTGTTTCTTGTGCCATGTGGGTTTTGCAAACAAGTTGCATATTTCTCCACAGAATTCCAAAGCGGAGTATCAGCTACCATCATTGTAGGGGCTTCAGTTGAATTAATTGCTAAGGGAATCAGAAGGCAGTGATACTTTGAGAACCATAAAAATCAGTTCTGTATGTCACATGGTCTTTTAAAAAAACTTTTAAAATGCTTCAGATTTCAATATCTTTCCTATAATCACAGGGAAATGGCTGGCAAGAAGAAAGAAATTGCGCTCCAGGTATAAATCCTAATTACTTGAACAACTTTGGAGGGAAATAGATGCTTTTTCTGACTTTTTAGAATGTTAAAATGTTAATTTTGTTTCAGACCATAATAACCAACGAAGAGCAGTGGGATGAAATGCTGAAGATAAAGGGTATAGTAGGTACTAACACCTGATATTTTCTTTTTAATCTTTCATGGACATATGTGCGTGTTTTCATATTTACATATTAGCTTTAATAGATACTCTAGAAGACTAGTACCATATCTTTTAAAGAAAGGCTATATTAATATATATTTACAAAGATATATCATAGAGCCATTGAACCATACAATTCTTTCATTTGGAAAAGAATTTTAAGATCATATATTACAATTATGAATATACTGTATCTTATATGATAAATACTCATCAAAATAGTATTTATTTAAATTTTATTCTTATATACTGCTGTACACCAATGTTTTGAAAATACCTTTCCAATATGGTATTCTCCATGGTAGGGAGTTGGATGCTTCTGTGTGTAAAATCTTTCACAGACTAAATAATTATTGCAGCATTCTAGAGAATGCATGACATGCATTATTCACAGTTTTTAGTTCATTTAGTCCAATAACTGTCTCCTAGGTGTCCTAGGAACTGTTTTTAGGAACTGTAAAAGGGAAAAATCTGTAACAGGATCATATCTACAGAAGGATAGTAATAGGCAAAGGCTCAGGGAGGTGAAAATCCTGTAGAATAAAGGTCTAGATAAGAATGAAAACCAACAGTGGGAAAGGAGAAGGGGAAATAAAAGGAAAAGGAATATGAGAGAAAAGTTGCTATTTGGTTTAATCATCTCAAAGAGTATTCTGAAGTAGGCCTCCAATGTCAAAAGTAATTGTAATTAAAGACTATGTATCCAGTAAAGTATCCACTGAATCCACTGATGTATTCATGATACATTCATTGTCTAGAAGAGGACTGAAAGATCCATGTGAATGCCTTCCGAGTGCTGCTTCAGCACAAACATAAATGTCTCATTTTATGAGTTCCTCAATCATCTGTTTGTAATTCCAAACTATTACATTTTAGTAATAGATGTGTATCAAGCTCGGTGCGGTCCGTGCAAAGCTGTGCTGAATTTATTGAAAAAACTAAGGAACGACTTTAGTGAAGACAATGTGCTACATTTTGCCGTGGTAAGGACACAAATCCTGTGTGTGACCATATTTACATTTTGATTTAAATATATCTTCTGATCTGCATAGGCACAGCTTTCATTTCACTGTCCTTATACTGAGTTACCATAATTTTGGCATGTTGCTTTCCCTGCATGTGTCCTCATAAGAATTTGTTTAGAAGTAGATTAGAAATGGCAATAAATATGTAAGAAGCTATAATAAAAAAGAGCTGATATCCCACAATATTTTGTTTTCCTTGATGAGATTGAAGAAATATTCAAAAGCCAGACTATATGACTTTTAGTTTTAAGTCTCTGCATTTTGAACTATTGCATTTAAAATTCTCGCAAAACTGTTGCATCTTTGCAAATGTGACCTTTCATTTTGAAGAAAACAAAAAGGGGGAAATTTAGAAAAAATCCCAAAACTGTAGTAGTAAAAATATTTGTTTACACTAGCAGTATATATATATATATGAGTGTATTATACCTCCTATTTAAGGTAGATAAATTTATTTCAAAGACTCACTTTATCCAAGATGTTGACCAAGTTCATCCTTTTTCACATTAGTAAAACTTAAGATTCCATGATGAAAGAACCTTTCAGAAAAACATGAGGTTTTTTCTACATGAAAAAGGCAGGGCGTTATGTTCCAAGACTATCTCATGTGTTTCATGCAGTTGACCACATTTCACAAAAAAATTAATACACTGGATAAGCTCTTCCATCAAGACTGCATAGGCTACTTCTTCATTTATATATGTTATTATAACCTGCATGAGAAAATAGTATCAAGAGAATATATTTTTCCATGATTAAGTGCTCTAATACAAAGGGAGGACAATCCCATGTTACCAAAACAGCTCTTTCTTTATCACTGTAAGGACTGTTAGTTGTATTTAGGACTGCAGTTTGAGTTTGCAACACCAAAGTAAATAAGAGTGGTGTTTTCCTGCAAGTAAAAAGGTTTTCTTTATATATGCATATGCATACTTACTTATGTAAGCAAATAATCTTTTTTGTCTGACTTCAGGCAGAAGCTGACAGCATCGAAATTCTGAAACCATTTAGGAGGAGCTGTGAACCTGTGTTTCTTTTTTGTGTTGTAAGTACATCACATCAGCTTCCTTTAATGTGCTGCCTACTTCTGCCTTAACTTTTCAATAGATTTTAAATTAGACGTGAAGCTGTATATCTTTACATTTTGAACTATGGAGGATGATACTATCTGATGGTTTTTACCTGAGCCATTTCCCATGTCTGAATCTGGTGGTTCTCAAGCACATTTTTGTTGCAGCTGTTGAACATACAGCCACAGAAGAATTGTGGTAGTCACTGTTTTGGTAGTCAGTGAGAAATCCAGGTAAGTTTTCCAGGTTTGCCTTACATAAAGTGGCTACATGTGGTTACACTGAAATAATTATTTTATGGACCATTTTCATCATGGAAAGAGAGTTTACATTTCCTGGCATTATAAGATTTTTAAGATAACAGATTAAATTGTTCTTTCTTACTTGAGGAACTGTAGCAATTAACCATATATTTATTAAGTCTCACTGATGGACACAGAAAGCTGGTTCTCCAAGGACACAGCTGTAGCACACTGCTCACTTAAGAAGAGATGGGGGTTGTTTTAACTTGAGGGTGCCAGGATTTGAATTTCCATAAGTGAGGACCAAAGATAATGACACTTTCAGGACTCTTTCAGGTTTGAATCTGAATGCTGCCTAGAAATATTAGCAGTATTTTTGGTCACCATTAGCTTAACTACTGTGCACCTGAATGTGGTAGAGAATGCAGTGAAAAGTCACACCAAAAAAAAAGATGGAAAACTCCATGTTACAGAAATTGTGAACAAATAAAATCCATATTTGCATTTGCTTCCAACTGTATTATTAGTATTGAGCTTAGAAATAAAAATGGAAAATTTGGTAAAGAAGGAAACAAGGAATTAAATGCACAAAAGTTTCATTCTGAAATAATAGAGGCAGTAGTAGCTTTGGCATTCCCTTCAGTGGGCATAAGAAATTATCCTTAGCTGGAAAAAAATAGCAAGATATTGTATGTTTCAAAAATTCAAGTAAATGTGTAAATTAAGTGATGAAAACACACTGAGAGTGTTATTTTCTCTTCAACAGCATGGCAAAATTCTTGCAATGGTGAAAGGTGTAAATGCTCCTCTCATAACTAAGACAGTAACAGATTTAGTGCAAGAGGAGAGGGAAATTGCAGCTGGAGAGAAGGAACGTGCTGAGGTACTGACAAACCAGATACTCATGCATAAATGTATATTTTTAGTACCCTTACACTGTTTCTCTAAATGTCTATGATGGTGTTTAGATAATGTTTAATTTTTTGCATTTTTGTCCTAACAATAAAATTATATATATGATGTGCCTATTTTATAGAAATCAAGCAAAATTATCTGGGTTCTAAGAGACTTTGAAAGATCATCCAGCCCAACCCCTCTTGCCACAGGCGGTGGCAGCTTTCACTAGATCAGTTTGCTCAGAGCCCTGGGGATTGCTCTGTACCTAATGAATCCAGTTTGCTGCAAAAAACAAAGGCCGTTCAACAAGTGCATTCTATCACCTTTGTCTCCTGAATTCCAGGTAACATGAGGACATAAGGACAGCTCAGTCTGACGTCAATAGCCTGCACTGTGAAAGATCCAACTGTTGGAATTCACAGTAGCAGCAGAGCCAATCTTCCCTTGTTGCTTGTTGTCCTCAGAACCCCCAAATTTCCATTATGGTACTGTATATAAACTTAACAAATTTACAGGTTAGCCTAGCAATGTAAGAAATGGAGAGATGGATGAAATGCCACTAGCTCATAAATGATTTAGTAATCTTTTTTCTTTCAGGACTAAGTATTTTTTAATATATAGCTTAGGAACTACATCATATGAAACAAAAACATGGGAAATAATAATGTCTCATTGCTTATTTTGTTTAAATGTAAATGAAAGAACTCCACAAAAAGAGCTTTTTAACAAACTGAAATTCAGTTAAGGAAAATCAGACTGACCAAAGGTGCTTCTTAGAATTGCTTGTTTTCCAGGGTAGAAAATCCATTCTTACATTAAGATAAATGTGTTATAAAGATGTCACAGCTGTGTTTGGTGACTTTACTTTTGAACTGGTGATGCATTTTTACTCCATTTGCTATAACCTCAGGTAGAAGAACTCATTTTTCATGAAGAAGGTTCATCAGAAGGGTCTGCTGAGGAGGTTGTAGAGGAGGGTAAATATATTTTATTTATTTTACAAATGTTAACAGAAAGAAAGAGAACAAATATCTTTTGATTAATAATTGTCTATGTCTAGTACTAACAGACCTTCCTTTAGATGTGTTAACAAAATGCTATGATTGAGCTTTCTTCCGTAAGGAATTAATGTATTGGACTGTCAGCATCCACATTTTCACCACCACATTGAGAACCTTCAGACTTTAGACAGAAGTGATATGTGCCAGGGAATTTTCCTGTGTAAAGTTAAGGCCTGAAAGTCACTGCTACACAGTCCCTGTGCGAGGAGTATACTTCTGTTGAGGTGGAGTACCAAGATGGGGCCAACCTGAGAGGACTGGAAGAGTTAATCTGTGAAGCAATGGCATGCCTTCTCTCAGATTACTCTTTCACCAGATTAGATTTGATAACAGATTTAAAAACAACATAAATCCACAGTAGCAGGATAAGCTTCCAAAAAGATTGAAAAATAAGCACCATCCTATTTAAAAGTCCTGTCTGTGATTTATCTCAGGTTTTTCATTAGCTGAGACCTACATCTTTTCTATTTTTATTGTAATCTGTGGTTACTGAATGTTCCTACTGCTTCCTCTATGCAGAGAATGCCATTGTACAACTCTGAGATGGAACAAACTCCTCCACCCTCTCCTTCTTCTTGATCTTGCTTTTTCTTTTCCCTGTGAGAGGCATTAGATCACAGTAATGGCATCCCTTTTCCTTCCTCTTCATGGTTTGATTTGGTTTTGTTGTTTTTTTTTAATTGTGTGGTTTAGCTGGCATATTCCTGACCTCAGCTTTAACTTATATTTTTTCTCATAAACCCTCTGAGACCTAGGAGTACAGTATTATCATTTAACAATTATCTACAGACTTCACACTAATCCCCAAAACCTAAAAGTTATAGAAAATCAGAAAACAGAGCTTCAGCTCAGGTTCAGCTTCAGGTTAGGGGATGTCTCGGACACTGTAATACACTAACATTTGGCAGGAATACTTTCCGTAACACATGCAGCTGCTTAAGTGTTTGTAGTATTGGTAACAAGTAGTTGTCTGCTGTTTCCATTATCACTATCTTAAATTCTTCTACAGTTTTTGGGATCAGATTGAGTTACAGTCAAATGCTTAACTGCAAACTTCAGGTCCAGTAAAGACGATTCCATTTATTTTGATGAATGTGTTACTTAGCACATTATTTTTTTCCCTTTTTTCAGAAGTACTTACTTATTCTGTTGGAATTATAAAACCTGATGATGTCTTAGCAGGACGTGTAGAAGAAATTAAAAGAAAGGTAAAAAGAATTTTAAAGTATTCATTTATTCTATTTACTTAAGAGACATAATAGCAAAATGTAAGGTTAAGTAGATCCTAATTTATGCCCAGACTTTGGAACAGAATCTGATAAAGCTTCTCTGCTAAGGATGATAAAAGCACATTAATTTTTACCTGAAACAATACGACATTTAAATTTATACTATTGCTTTAATATTCGATGCCAGCAGAGGTTAGACATTGATTCATATTGCTTCTGTTATGAAAAAATAAAAAGTCTTATAACAATATATATCAAGAGCAAATTAAAAGAATTGTAATAAGTGTTATGACAGGGATAGTGAACTTTGCAAGAAAGGGAATCAGAGGGCTATATGAATTCTTTCTGCAAAGAAAAATTCTTAATTAGTTTACCTTAGCTGGAAAGGAAGGAAGCTCAGTAAAGAGGAAAAAAAAAAAAAAGAAAAAAAAAAGATTTTAGCTGGAGCTCCTGCTACTTGGCCCATGAGGTGTGTTCTCCGACATAGGATGCACAGACAGCTTTGCTGTGGCAGGCTGAAAACACTCAGCAGCACCACCACAGGGGTTTTTATGGAGCAGAGTGCCGGTACACAGTTAATATTGGTGTATCATCAGTACTGGGGCTGGATACTGCCTTGGCTGTTAAAATGTCAGTATATGGTACAAACCTCATACCAATGAACTTTGATGCAAGCCATTTGTGTGCTTGTCTCACAAAATGCTTGCATTTAGTGTAGTAACTTAGCTTAAAACAGAAAATCATAAAGTAGATTCAATTTTTTCCTTACTTGCTGTTTCAAAAGCCAAGTAGTTTAGCCTAATACGACAACTGTTAACAAGTGCACATTTTTGTGACTACTATGGCTACAATATAATTTATAATTTCTTGCAACATAAATTGCATGTTAACCACTCACAGTGATCCAAAGGAGTTTAATCAATGTGAAATAAAAGGGATTATTAACTATTGCATGAATGTACTTCTTACGTTGAACTGCACTATATTTTTTCTCTAACATTAATTTAGAGGTATTGTAATCCTGAACTTAAGTGAAGTGCTTTGAAAGGCTGAAAGTTCAGTTTAGGCAAAGATAGCGGCTATGTTTTGACTATTTCAGAGAATTTAAAATTTAAGATAGCTTCCAAAACTAATCAATCTTTAGATTTACAATAACATATGATTTTGTATGTATCTATTTTCAAATGCCCCTGAGTAATAAGTGAATAATTGCAGATTAAAGATGCAGGATTTGACATTGAAGCAGATGAGGAGAGAATGCTTACTGAAGAGCAAATCAGAGTATTTTATGCCCGGAATAAAGATGAGGTAAACCACACTAAAAACATAAATTAAAGGAACACGTAAAAGATATAATTGTTACTAGATGTGCTTGCAAATCTCTGTATGGTAAATTTTAGGTATATTGAAGAACTGAATTAATGTAGATTTAGTACATAAAAAAAGAGATATTCCCTCTCCCTTTTTTTTCACTGACTCATATAAATATCGCTATGTAGCAATACAATATTCCAACCAAATTAAAATTACCTCCAATTAAATACGAAAATATTTAGTTCTTCTTTCTGTTATCTAAATGTGTGTGATCCTTAGACATGGAGCTAAATTTATAACACTATTTATCAAAATAAAATTATGCTGATTTTAAAACATGTTGTGAAAGGCCTAGTGACCTTTGTAGGAAAGAAAATGAGAGTGCTGTATAGATTATTTCTGCAATTACTTGACCTTGGCTGAAACATGGCACAACCCCAAAATCCATTGTGATCTATGTGAGACTGCATATCTATTTGACATATATCTTTTCAGCCAGAAAATAAGTGATATTACATATTATACTTTTTTTTCTTTCCAGATTTTATCATGGGGTCGTTCTGGGAATAAATATGTGCACAGGCAGAGAGGGAAAGCCTCTCAGCCAAAATCTATGTTTTTGTGCCTTGTCCTATATTAGGGGACAAAAAATAGCTAAAGACAGCTATAAAGTTCAAGAAAATAATTAAATTAGACTGTCCACCATTAAATGGCAGTGTTCTAGCAAACTAGCACCTGGATATGGTCATATTTTCTAGCAGTGTGATAACCAAAATTAACTCTTCAGAAGGATCTGAGACAAAAAATGAAGTTTCTTAGCAAATATTTATACCTTCTGCTATATGTGTAAGATAGACAGAGGCTGGTAATATATTCAAACAAACAGTTTGTTTGATTTTATTAGAGGAAGAAATGGAAGGGTTTGCCTAATCTGAAGTAGAAGGTGGGAAGGTGTTCCTGTGGCATTCCAAATGATTAAGAGTGAGATGACATGGCTCCTACTAAAGTCAGAGAGAAAAAAGAAAACTGATAGTAATCACTAGATGGCTGCACTATGGTTTAGAAAGGAAGTAATGGGGAGATCTTGCAAGAAACCATGAAGAGCTTGGCTTTAGCAAAGCTGGGATTGTAGGTTAGACAGAGGCAGTTTTGAAACAGAGGTGAAAGTAACTCATCTTCACGGGAATAGCAGCCAAATTTGGGACTAGTTGGCTCATCTTGGGAAATGGGTTAAGAATATGCATAGATATGAAGATAATTGAAAGAGAAATGCAATTAATTGAAAGCATATATGTGAATACTTCATCCTTGTATTACTAAAGGAAAAAAACTATCATCTGGAATGACATGATGCTGGCTGGTAATGATTTAGTCAAATATTTAAAAGGACAATAGATATCCCCAAGAAAAAGGTGACACACAAAAAAGAAATAAAATTAACAACTTACACAACAAGTTTCAAAAGTTATTTTTCTGATGGAAATGTATTTTTATAGGATTGAAAGTTGAAACTGAAGAAGTGAAAAGCACATAGCAAAGAAAATGAAGGGAAAGCCTACAAATGTCTTGCAAACAGCTCAGTGTTCTATATTTATATTGACTTGACTTTTAGTTTCAAAAATTATTCATGGAACTGTATTGTAGTTTCTTATGTCACACTACATGCTGTTTTACAAGCATAGCAAGTGATCACATTGATTTTCTAGATCATTTTCTTCATTCTTCTCATTTGCATTTTAACCTGGAAGAACATCTAGTACTTGTTTAAAGCAGTAATACAACTTTCTTTATCTCAATTTACTTTCTTTTTGGACATTTGATAATGTTGTCTCAAATGATTGATAAAAAAAATCTTCCCAAACAATTTATCAGAGTTCTGAGGAATGTATGTGAATGCCAGTTTCAGGAACAGGAATGTATGAGTTACTTTAAAAGCATAACTGTCTCATTTCCAATGACAAACTCAGAGTTCCTGCAATTCATAGGGGGGGAAATTATGTTTTTTAGCCTGACTTTAATGCATTCGTTCAATTCATGATGAGTGGACCATGCCATGTTTTGATCATCACTAAAAAAGAAGCAACTGGCGCTATTCCTCAGTGGATAGAACTACAAAAAACAAGTGAGACTGGTGAGCCTGAGGAGCCAATCAAGTAAGTACCAGTGAAAATGTGTATCTGAGATTCAGTCACAGTGTTCAGAGCACACCATAAACTAAGGCACGTTCCTACAGATGCAGATATGCCCATGTGTGCAGGTCCAGGGAGCAGGCAGAGTTCTTTGTCTAGTCCTTCACGGGACCACCACTAGAGATACAACCGCAGTTTTCATGGGAATTCAGAAATTCTTTGTTTCCTAGTTAAAGATGACAAGCCAAGGTCATTGATCTCTTTGAACTCACCTTCAGTGGGCTCTCAGAACAATGGGAACAATGACACACTTCAAAGCTGGTGTAGTCCTTGCAATTCCAGTTCACCCATGCCACGGGACTGCCTGCACTGCCTGCACTGAAGGTTGCACTCTTTCCCATGTTTACCCCTATGTTCCTTGGGAAGCTGTAGATATGGCCCAGGGCAGACCAGGGCATGCCTGAGGCATGCTCTTCTCCCTGGGAACACTCTAAAAGCCAGCAGAGAAGGGGAAGCATACTGGAGTTTGTGTCCCCACCCTGGTCCAAGATACTAAAAAAAATTTGTAAGGATTAGCTGTTCACAACCATGGTATCTTGAAATGTGTGTTTTTCATCTATGCCAAGGGCTTGAGGAGAATTTTCAGGACAGTAGTTGTATACACAGCCTCGGACAATAGAATATTCACAAAAATTCAAATATTGGATTAAGTTTTATATTTAGACAAGACATTTACTTAACACAACATGAGCTTAAATACTTTGTCCGAAAATTGTTACAGTAATTGACATTTTTGTCGATGCGTGCTGCCCCCCTTTCTGCGTTAACTAAGTACAGCTGGGGAATACTGCATTTTCTACAAGTGGCCAAGAGGGACTTTATTTACACAGCTGAACAAACAGGCAAGAAACACTGAGAAGTGTCTCTGTTATCAACAACTCTGTAGTGCTATCATTTTTATGATCGTGCTGTACATAAATTAAGCACAAGACTTCTATTGATCATTCATTGTACACTGTACACTTGTCAATAGTAATTCTATCTCATGAAACAGAGAAATTATTTTGGATAAGCTAGAGGGGAATTGTTAAAGCAGCCTGGCTGAGGTTTCTCCTTCAGAGTACATGATCAGGCACTTTTTGAGAAGATTAATAATTCTCTTCTCAGAAATGTTACTTTTCTCATTAATCTGAATTTAATAAAAACTTAGTTGTACATTCTATCCTTATGTTTCACTAAATTTTAAGAAAGTACGTCTTCAAAAATTCAGCTTGTTAACACTAAGCAGTGACTTAAATACTGCATTAATTCATGTTTCATCAGGTTGCCAGGACTCAAGGAAACTGAAAGTCTGGTAAATTTATGTGATGTGCAAGACAGTATTGAAGATGCCAGCAGACAGCTCGCCTTCTTTTTCCCAAATTTTCATATTGATGAGGCAGGACATCATGCTGCTGAAAGGACTTTGGCCATAATTAGACCTACTCTCTTGAAGGAAAGGCGAAGTAAGTGTTAATAACTGTATTTTCTATCAAGGGTATACAAATACTCTCATATTTTGAATTTTGAATTATAAATTTTAACTCAATTAATGATATTTTTTAGGTTATACTGTCTCTCTAGCATTAGGCCAGCAGTAATCTTTGTCTGGAATGAAGTTGTGATGTTAATGTTTTTCATATATTGTGAATGCAAACGTCAATGATATTTTGTTCATTTGGTTAATTTTTCAAGAAATTCTGCAGATGAAATATTTCTAGAAGACCTCTCTGAGAAGCTCGTATTTTCAAATGTAGTATAGGGGACTAGATTTCTCACCATAATAAAGTAGCTGATATTTTTGAACAGCAGGCTCAGGATAGATCAATGGCAAGGGGAAAAATATCCAACCCAAGATGTTCTATGCTGCATGAGGCAGTCCTGCTCAAAGGCAGTTCTAAACAGACAGCATTTTTACAGATTAAATTAAAAAATCTACCCCATTACATGATGCTTCATCCAAACAAGTTTACTTTTCTTCTTAGTCATATATTTACATTTCTTCCTCGATTTCAAATAGTATTTTTATTTCTAACTTGAGAATCCCTGTACCTGAGCAATCTTATGTGCAGACAGTGGAAAGACTAAAATTTTGATCTTTCCTTGTGAATTTATGTTATTTATGGTTGTCTAGCATGTTGCTTAGAGCAGCAGTTCAGCAGTTCATGTTTAGGTAATCACACATTAATTTTGTAGGTAATTTTGACTTGTGCCAAATACTGCTTATTTACCCATGTGGTCTTGTAAGACTTAGTTAAATAAACATTTCACCTATTCAAATTCCTTAGACCTTCTTTTGCTGGTAGTAACATGCATCATATTTCTCAGTCAGAATTTTAAGGAAGAGGTATTTTAAGGAAGAGAAAGCCAAATTATTATGAGGATCAGTTTTCTGAGGCAACTAGTGATGCCCCCTAGCAGTTGCTTTAAATTAGTTTCTTGTTCTTTAGTTAGGAAACAAATTCACCCATAAAAAAAATTAACATCATCATTGAAAAGTCCATGTCATTTCTCTACAAGAGTTCAAATGAATGAATGGATGGCAATTTAGCATTATTTAAATCTATTTAACAGATTCAATCATTCAAAGGATAAAGGATGATGGTTTCCAAATAGCAATGCAGAAAGAAATAATTCTATCTGAGGACCAAGTGCGTACATTTTACAAAGAGCATGTAGATCAAGACTACTTCCCTGTCCTTCTAGAGCAAATGACCAGGTAGGTTGAATGAAAAAGGGGAACGTAAATCTATAGACTCTGTATAGAATCAGACAAGACTGAAATTTTCACATTAAATAATTGTTGAATCAGAGACTCACAGAATGGTCTGAGCTGGAAGGGGTCATTATTGTCCATCTAGTTTCAGCCCCTATCATGGACAGGGACACCTTTCACCTGAATAGGTTCCTCAAAGCCCCATCCAATCTGGTGTTGAACATTTCCTGGATAATACATGGCTGCAAGATACACATGTCTAAAAATTTTGTAAAACACAAAACGGGAACAGATAACTGCAGATAATGGAATAATTTCCAAGTACAACAAATAAAAAAAAAAAAATCAAGCCTTTAAAAGTTACTAGCTATTCCATGTTGTTGTATGTATGATGCGTCAGTGGCCAAGTCCACTGATTTGAGTGAAAACAGTTTAGGTCTGCTCTGAGAAGGCTGCATTTAGGTTGTCTGTAGGAGAGCTCTGAAATCTTCAACCAGGCCATGTGCTGGATAACTTGGGGAAGAGAAATAAATCATGTTTGGATATTCCCTTCATGGCTGGGGCATGATCAGTCTTTCTCTGTCTTCCCATTGTGACAAAACATAGTAACTTTGCAATTTAAATTCATATTTAAGCCCCATAAGCTTTTATCAGCCTGTATGTGTTTAAATAATCAAATCAATTTTAAGGTCCCCCAATACTGGGGCTCATTTTCCTAGTCTGGGCTATATATAATCAAATTACTTTTTAAAAGCTCCAAGAGGGGGGTGGGTTGTTTGGGGTTTTTGTTTTGGTTTGGTTTTTTGTGGGTTTTTTTTTTTTTTTGGTTTTTGTTTTGGGGTTTTTTTGGTTTTTTTTTTGGGTTTTTTTTGGGGTTTTTTTGGTTTTTTTTTTGGGTTTTTTTTTGGGGTTTTGTTTGTTTGTTTGTTTGTTTTCTTAATGCTACTTTTCTCCTCGTACAGTGGTCCAACTCTTATATTGGCTCTAACACGGGAAAATGCTGTATCACACTGGAGAAGTTTACTAGGCCCAAAGATCCTTGAAGAGGCTAAGGAAAATCCAGAGAGGTAATAGTCACAGAAGTAAACCATCATTCACAGCTTTCAACTTACCTTCACATTTCTTATCTCATTCCACATTCCAAGTAGTGTAACTGTAGTGCCACCATCTGGAAACAGATATGCATTTCTGCAATTTTTTAAGCTTTTCTTGGAGGTAGTAGTATTATACATAGGAACCCCAGCATTTTTTGAGATATAATGGCTGCTAAACAGAATTAAAATCTGAGTTTTAAAAAGTGCAATGAACTGAAAGTTTTAAAAAGTGCAATGAAATGAACTCTGACTTGAGTCAGAGAAAAAATGCTGGTAATACGTATTCTTAATAGTGGGGGGGAGAGGGTCTTAAAATAACACCATTATTTTTTCTTGAAATACCAGTAAGATTTTCTTGTTGCTTATTCAAAACTTGCATCAGTAGAATATTTTATTTGTGACTAAGTTTCTCCTACACAGTTTATAAACAGACACCCTAGTTCTGCCTGCTTATCACATTGCTCTAGGAAACTGCAATGGTATCACCTTACCTGCTGCTGACAGAAGTGCCATCTCATTAAGAAATAAGTGGTATTTCTTGGAAATATAACAACACCAGTGTTTATATTTCACATTTCACACTTCCAGATCAACACTAATTTATATTCCCTGGGTTGTGGCTAATTATAGTTCAGAGCTCAAAATGGCTATGCTTTTTTAAGTAACTTCACTCTTTTAACGCCTCTTAGTTTGCGTGCACAGTTTTTGTTTGAAAATGTACCTATCAATCAGCTGCATGGCAGCTCTACACCCAGCGATGCTCAGAAGGAACTAGAGTTCTTCTTCCCTGAGGAACATACCTTTGCATTAATCAAACCTGATGCTGCTAAGACTCATAAAGGTAAGGCATTTAGAAAGTATGGGCTGTATCTAGTGATGTAATCATCTCTGCAAAGGATTAGCAATGCACACTGCAGTAAATCACATCTCTGAAGTACATTTTCTGTGCAGAGAAATGCTTTTACACAGCTTGCATAATTCAGATCGAGATCTCAAACGTGACATTCCTTTTTCTTAAGCTGCCTAAAGGTCTTTCTTCACTAGAATAGTGGTGAATCGAAGAAAGAGAGTTCTTAGATAAGTTAAACTGTTTTATGGCCAGGCACTTCTGCAGACTAACTGCCCAGCATCTTTATTAGTCAAAGGAGAGAGACACTTGCCAAACCTATATTACTTATTTCAGGCAGGTGTCTCTACTGACTCAAAAGGGGCCACTGCTCAGTTAGATACATTCCCATCCTTGATTTTACTTACTGCCAGTCTAAGGGAATAAGGAGAAAAAAATCAGAATAAAAAGAGCACTATGTAGAATTCATAATCTTGCCCTAACATGTTTGCTGCCGCTCTTAAAAAAATCCTATACCTCCACCCACTACTTAGCATTATTCTATTCTGTCCTAACAAATTTCAGTAGTCTTTCATCATTGGCTTTTGTAAGTCTATCTTCCCCTCTTGTGAAAATCCAGATTGATTTTGGCCAGTCAATTGATGTTTGATACAGCATTACAACTACATTCCACATTCTGTTTAATGTGAGAAATAACAGTGAATGCAATTGGCATAGTTTATTAAAATCTGGGTTTGATATGTGCATCAAGATGGAAAATGCAGTGACAATGGTTTCTGCCTATTTTAGAGGACTGTTGAAGTGTTTCTTATGTTGTCCATATTTGGTTTGATATTGTAAGAAAAATTCTAATAGCTATTGGTGATTTTTTGCTAGAAAAAGGCATCTAGTATTTTCATAAACTTTTAAAGTTTGGGTGTTTGGGGTTAGCATTTTTTGTATCTAAACCATTTCAAATAAAAAAATGAGCTTGTTTGTCATTCTCCTAGATGAAATAATGAAAAAAGTTAAAGAGGCTGGATTTAGCATCTCAAAGGTAAAAGAACAATCTTTGACTCGGGAAATGGCCGCACATTTTTACAAGGATCACGAAGGAAAACCCTTTTTTGATGAGCTGGTGAATTTTATGACACAGTAAGTGTCTTGGGTTACAGTACTGAGGTATGTAAGTAGACATCACACTTTCTACAGTGCCAACAAAACGTGCTACACCATAACTGGTGCAAGGATTTTACAGCCTGTCGCTCTTTCTGGCAAGTTTAGTAGCTTCTAGCACAGAATACTCTTCCTTTAAAAGGGAGACTTACAATTCTTTTCAAACTTATGGATAGTTTTATTTTTGATTTTATTTTCCCTGAAAAGGAACTGCTTTCCAATTGGATCCTTTTTCTTCTCATGCAGGACAAATATCTTCCTCGAAATATTGTTAGTATAGTTGATAAAAACAGTATGCATTGTCTTGCTTCAGAAAGTATTGTGTGAGAATGTCTTTTGGACAAGAAGTCCAAATCCAAATATCTGATCATCATAATCTCTTTGGCTTTCAAATATGGAATTTTTCCTTAAACAAAACATGCAGAAACAAATTTTAGTATTTAAGCAGCTTAATAAAATTAAGACAGTTCAATGCTTATTATAACCCTTCATGGTACCTCTGACATTAAAGCTAAGTCTGCATCTCAGAAATCTCAGAATAGTTTAAGAGTTTTTAACATTGATTTTGCAGGGGTCCATCAGTAATAATGGTCTTATCAAAGGAAAATGCCGTGGAAGAATGGAGGAAACTAATGGGTCCAACTGATCCAGAAGAGGCAAAGAAGACCTGTCCTGAATCAATTAGGGCTCAGTTTGCACACGATATTTTGTCTAATGCTGTTCATGGTGCATCTAATATAGAACACGCAGAGAGAAGCATTCATTTTGCATTTGGAGAGCTGGATGCAGACTAAACAATTAAGAGACAGTCTCTGAAAATTGATGTTCATGTAATTAGATGGATTTGTCTACCCAACCACTATATTCAAGACTACATAAACACACTTCTTTTTCTTTAGAGTCCATCCCATTTTAGTTGTGCAGGTTTTGTTATCAGCTCTTCTGTATTGCAAAACATAGCAAGGTAACAAGTAATGCCTGTTATGAGTTTGACACTAGTAATGGTTTCTTTATGTAGGTTTAGTAGATGTTTTCTTCTTTTACCATTTTAACAGATTTATGCATTTCCAATAGTTCCAGGATTCTAAAGTGTCTTGTGTATAGCTACCTTAAAAAGAGCAAGGACAAGGGTCAAGGAAGGTGATTAAAACACTATTAATGGCACGTCAGCTGGTGATGTGGATCGAGTTCTGCTGTTCCAAACGTGAGCAAAATGGGGCTCCTGGACCCGCTGGCCAGCTGTGTGTGTGCACCCCTGGAGAGACTGCTCTGGGCTATTAAGGTCTACTGATTCCCTCAGGACCCTGAAAAACATTTACATTGTTTATTCATCCTTTTCCTAAATATCTTCTAAGGATTACTTTCACAGGCAGGATAATAAACTAAAAGGTCCTTTTCAGCCCATTTACTTAATTCAAGTATATCAGAGGAACTAAAATATGAAGCCAGCTCTTACATAACAGCTATTCTTGACATGAACCTCCTTGCCAAACTAGCGAGTTCATATCCTGTCCAGTCTAACTTGGCTGGCCTTCATGAAGAACACAAATATTATTCTGTAGCTGATGTATTCTCACATTTGTTGTCTAATCTGTTGAAGGCTGAGATTCTAAAGAATGGCATTCACTTAAAGCAATTTACTTACATTGTTGATTTTAAGTGTCAAGTCCAGAAAGAATGAAGTCCTTCTCATACTTTCTTTATTGCTCCTACTGTATTTAACACAACTAGCTGCTATAAAGACCTTCCTGACAAATATTTCTGTTGTGATGGGGCATTTGTTATTACAGACATTCCTCCAGCAGAAGTTGGACTGAGCATTCTCCTGGTGGCTCATTTTCACCTAGAGCTGCTTTACTGCCACAAACTCAGCTTGAGGTTCACTGGCCTGTAGGAGCTTATAATTAGTGCAAAATTTATATGTCGCCTCACAGAGGTGTGTTCTGAGAAACATACTTCAGGATAGTTATATATAATCTTTGGCTTCTTTTTTATTTCAAATACTCATTAAAACTGTTCTTCCTGGCATTATTTAAGCACTCTGGGTCTCTTGGGTCCTGGCATGCTGTACTTTAAGCCAAGAAGCAGCCCCAGAAAAGAGCAGATTGCTTGAGTAGTGCAATTTCGCATACATCAATTCAACTCATTTCCTCAGATCTTTGCTGCAATTAATGGCTTCTCAACCAGTGGGACAAATACAAGCTGAAAGTTCATGTGGGTTTATTTTTTGACAGGAGCAGAAATGTTGAAAACAGCAAAGTGCTTTTATATCTTATTAAGAGTCCATAACATGTCTGGTGGAAGTTTACAATCAAAGAACTTGATAAGTATCATACAGGGGTGGTGAATACTGTGAATCACTTATTGCTCTGGTGTGAGAAATTTCAGTTTGCTGTGGGGGCACCGTAGCTCTGTCTCTGCCTGTTTAAATATGGTGAAATTTTGTATGCCAAGTTATTGCTCTTTCTTAACCATTATCCTCCATATTGCATCACATCACTCTTTAACAATATAACATTTTTGTCGGTTTGGTTTAACTATTGGGTGTTGAAGGATTTTGTCTATTTGGGGTTCCATATTCATGTGTGTCAATTACAATCCCTGCTTTGTGCTTGATGAAAGTGATCCATTAGATTCCATTGAAATATTATGCATAGATCTATGACAGTTTTTTCTTCATGTTGCCTAAGTATCCAAACCCAAACTGAAATGTGGGAACATTTCATTTGTTAATGCTCATCTTCTTTCTCCTCAATACATTCTTGATCTTGAAATCTTCTAGCAGCTTTGGAAAGGAGAAATTTAACAGAAACATCTTAAAATATCAAATATAACTGTTTCATTCAGATGATTAAGAGGTTCAGATTTGCAAAGCTTTTATGTCTTCGAGAACAGAAGATTGGAGATTTTATATGATTATCAAAATGTGCATTCAAAAGAATGGCAATCAAAATACTGTCAGTATTTTAAGAGATTGCTTTGTCTCTTTAAAATTTTAACTCACCCTGTAGGTATTACATACATTATTTATACTGCCAGCCACTCTACTTTGAAAATTATATTACTGTAATATAGATATGGATGCAATTTTTAAGAATTTGAACATTTCTGGTGGGATCAGCAATTATTTGATTTATAGAGTCAGGAGGACTCCGTTCCAACATAAACTCCATGAAGTGTCACAGAATAAAATCTTCCTGCAATTAAATTTACACAAAACTGCTGCACATAAAACTTACAGAAACTCTGACTCTGTCCATTTAGCTCATATCTAAATGCCAGTTCAAAAGAGAATGTGGCCTTTACAACTGTTTATTTAGAAAACATCTTGTTGTTCATCATAGAATTAGGTGGTGCAAAGATTTGATTATAATTCTTCCAAGACTAACAAAAGATAACATAATTATTCTTCTGATTTTTGTCCCAGCAGGAGAGAAATGGAACCACAGGGTATGTTTATTTGTACCACAAACCACATATTTCCTTGTTTAGGAGCTTTAATGAAATCACAACCAGACGCTAAAGACTATATTAAAGATCTGTTTCAGTTTAGAATGATAAACAAGAGGGTTATAAATCTCAAAATACTGTTTTAGAAGAATAAGTATATCTGATTGTACTGAGATTTTGTACTGAATTACTACATTAAAAAAAAGACAACTGGAGAAACCTTTTTTTTCCCTGCCAAGAAGATGGAGTCAATCAGCTTGTGGCTCTGCACCACTTTTTTCCCTTTGCTCTGACTGCTGAATGAACTACACTGGCAAGTCAGACATTGCAAGTTCTGTTCAGTTTATCCACAGTTCTTTGTGAGCAAATGGTCAGCTCCCTGGTTACTCTGCTCAGAGAATACATACTGAAGTTCTCTGAGTATGTACAAATTACAAAGTTTTCATCGCACTGCAACCACAAGTAATCAAAATACTTAGGGCGTTCTGTTTGGGGCATTTCTTGGTTAATCTGATACAATCATTAATCTTTATCTGGATATAGACTGCTTGATATATTTAAGGTACTTTTGGGGCTTGATCTTAATATCCCCGTCTAGAGAAAAGGAGTGTTGCCCTCTCTTGCTTTATGCTCATTTCCATAGTGTTTTATTCACCAGCCTTTTGGCAGCAGCAGGAACGAAGCTAATATTAATAGATTACCTGGAAGGCCTCAAGTTGACTGCATATCCAACAAGCAAGTTTGAAATGCTGTTTTACATTCCAATAAAGCTGTTGATCAATTTCAGAGATGTTACATGAAATGTAGTGTTAGAAGTTGAAATTCACTGCAATTTTTCCAAGCTAGCCTTGGCTAGCTCTAATCAGAAGTAATGCATTTCTATAGAAATTAATTACTTGCAAGTTATTGAGGAGTGGGCGAATTTATAAACGAAAACATAATTTCGAATGTTTGTTGACACATATTGATGGATTATATTTATTTACAAAATTAATAGTTGCTGATGTAGCTTACCATAAAAATCTGGTTGAGGAAATGTTTTCAGATGTGCATTTACATTCAACTGCTAAGTGCAACCAAAAAGCATGGGTTGGTTGTGCATAATTGAAGTAAATATTTTTTCAGGTTTCATTCCTAGATTTGGAATCTAGGTTACAATTCTGGATAAAAGAATTTAAGAGCTGTTTGAGTATTTTGGACAGAAAAATCTTCTTTTTATTTGCTTAGGAAGTATTTCTCAGTCATATGCACTGACTGGACGAAAGTTGCAACACTGAATTGAAGTGACCAGGTCAGTCAGGTCTTGTTGGAGGGAGGTTTATGGGCTTTTTAAAAATGTGTTTCATAAAAGAGTTCTGAGTTGCGTTTAAAGTGAGCTTCTAAAATGGTGCCAATCATTCACAATTAGAGTAAATATTTTTTCAGGTTTCATTCTTTTGGAACTGAGGTTAGAACATTCAGTGAAAATACTGAATGGCACTTCTAACTAAACTGGGCACATGCGTGTGGGAGGTAGTAAGAAACTCACCAGAAGCATATGTTTGGTGTTCCAGGCAATTTTTATTTTATATTTAAAAAATGCCAAGCCCCTCAGTAAGAAGGCTTAGCTGCAACACTGAGAAAAAGCCCCATTTAACACTTCAAGAATTTGGCATCTTAATTTTTTTCATCTTTAAGTAGTTGCAGTAATTACATTCATCCATCAGCAAACTATTTGCCTCCCTTTGCTGAATGGCGTTTTCATGACTCCAGTGCTGGAGTGCACCAGCACAGCAATGGCTACACCTGGCCATGGATGTACACGAGAAGAGGTGAGTCTGACCTTTTGCCACATGGCAGGGACCAGAGGTGGGGACTGCACCCTCTGGGGAGGAATACACCTGTTCAAACAGCCCTCAGTGCTCCAACACCTATTTTAGGGGAAGGGACGGGAAGGGAAGGGAAGCTAAAGGGTGTGGATATCCTGAGTCTGGATTCAGCTGGCAGTTGATGTCACAGGGAATAAATAATTGTAGGAGATTTTCAAAACTGAATGACTAGCATTAGTGATAAATTGGGTTGACCCATGGCTTCTTAAAATATAGGAAAAAATGGGTTTGGAAAAACACACTACCTTATTAATTTATCCCTTGTATGTCTGTTCTTTGTTTTATGATATCCCCTGCTTTTTGCTGTATTACTTTTCCTTCTTCCATATTTTTACCGTATCAGATTGAAACTTATTCAGCATGAAGTATACATAAAAATGTTAAGGAGTTTGGAAACACCTGGCTCGGTGCATCCATGTCTATTCCAGCATATTGGAATGGTCAATCTAATGACAGCAACTAGGAGAAGGAACGGTGACAATTCGTTGGAGAAAATAATTTGTATGTTTTTTCCTCTGACAAAATGAAAAAAACAAAA